TTTTGGCAGTCTTCGATATCGTAGTTACATCAAGTCCCAGCGCGTTACAGAAGATTAAGTCCGAAATTGAAAGACGGGAAAAAGTAGAGAAACGATCGACTCTCAGAAAAACATTCTCCTACTTGAAAGACCCGGGAAGAATTAACGACCTAAAGAAAGATTTTGACAAAGCATTGGCATCGTTTCAGGTAGCTTTCCTTACAGTATCCTTCCATAACCGTTCTGATTTCCGGCCGATGCAGGTTAGGACGAACTTGATAACTGGCGCCAAGTTAGCGGCCATAGAACGTCGTCTACACGAAGACAAAATTCTCGATAGTCTCCGATACCCTCATCTTGCTCATGATGATTCCACTCAGGCGTGCCTGGAAGACACTAGGGTTGATCTCATTGAGCGTATCATGGCATGGTGCCGCAACACTGAGGATAGCGAGAACCGGCTAATGCTGTTGACTGCTGTGGCCGGTGCTGGCAAGACTTCGATTGCACTCACGATAGCAGAACAATGTGCCAGCGAAGGGGATGTTACCCTGTTACTGCCCTTCTTCTTTAAAGCGGGCGAACGATCGCGGCCTGATTTTCTATTCAGTGGCATGGCTCGAGCTTTGGCAGACCATGACCCCGTTTACCGCACTTTCATTACCTCTGCTCTTCGAAACGATCCTAGTCTCTCAACAGCTTCATTCGCGACGCAGTTCAAGAAATTGGTGGCTCCGTCTCTACTCCATAAACCTCCGCCTTCTGACCGTCCTATGGTGATCATCATCGACGCTTTAGATGAATGTGACAAAGAAGCGTTCGAATCCCTTGCCGAAATTCTTGGGGATGAAGTGCCCAGGCTACCATCTTCCATAAAATTCTTCATCACATCGAGACAATTTGATCTCGTGAATCGCTACCTCTCCCCCAATTACCCTATTGATCATCTCACTATCGATCTCTTGGACGAGGCAAATGTGCGGGACTGTGCTAGATTCATACGCTTCCAGCTGCAAAAGCTAAAGAAATTACATTGGGATCTACAGCGTAATCTTAAGGACGAGGATAAAATGGTGCAGGAGATCTCGGAACGAGCAAATGGGTTGTTTATCTGGATCAGCACCATCTTTCGCTACATGAAGATGACCAACCAGGATCCTATGGGGACACTAAAAAGTCTGCTTGACACTGGTGCCAAACGACCAGAGGTCCCTGCTGAGAAGATGATGGAAGACTTGTATACAAGCATCTTGAAGAAGTGTGCTTGGGAGGATGAAAATTTTGCGCACGATTACCCAATCGTGATGGGAGCAATCTTCGTTGCTCAGGAGCCTCTGTCCATCACAGCCTGGGACTCAATTTTGTCACCTTTCCTCAAGTCTTCTGTTCGATATGCATTGGCCGAACTTGCTCCACTGCTCTCAGGAATTGAGGATTCTCACATTCCGGTTTGCATCTTACACCAATCTTTCCGCGATTTTATTGTCGATCGGATCCATCCCCAAACAATCAGCTTGCATTGCCCTCCCATAGTTGTGGGGGTGGAGAATGCCAGGGTCGCCCTGCGATGTACCGAGATTTTGAACAAGGATCTCTGCTCTGTAAAGGGCTTAGGACTGATCGAAAACTTGTCCGAAAAAGATGAAATGCCGCGCATTCCTCCATCGGAGTTATCTGAGCACTTTCGTTACGCATGTCGCCACATCGTCCACCACCTAAGTGGAGTCAAGGGACCATCAGAGGAGCTTGCTGGGTTAGTTGGTATGTTTCTGAGTCAGGAAGCAACTCGGTGGATGGAAGTCTGTGTGAGAATGGAAAGCTATGTCAGTATCTTGTTACTTCCTGAGTGGGCCAAGGTATGGGTTATGAATTGTGTTAAAGAAACTACCTGATGGTCTTCTAGTTGGCTGTTGACCACAGGGCTGTTAGTGCACTGGCTGATGTGCTTACCAAGCTTCCGGGGACCCTGCAATTTTTTTCAAGATTCCAGGAGGCATACAAGGCAGCAAACGATTCTGTTGTACTCTGCCGTTACCTTGTTTCTGTGGACTCAAACTCCTACACCCCGGATTTGGCTAGGTCACTAAACAATCTATATAATGCCATTGACGGACTCGGACGGCACTCGGAGGCACTCCCAATCATCGAAGAATGTGTCAAACTCCAGCGCCAGTTGGTTGCCGTTGACCCAGGATCATACACCCCGGATTTGGCCGGGTCACTCAACAATCTACATATCGCTCTTTCCAATCTCGGACAGCACTCAGAGGCACTCCCATTCATCGAAGAAAGCATCATACTCTACCGCCAGCTAGTTGCTGTTAACCCAGGATCATACACCCCGGATTTGGCCATGACACTCAACAATCTAACTAATGCTCTTTCCAATCTTGGACAGCACTCGGAGGCACTCCCATTCATCGAACAAAGTGTCAAACTCTACCACCAGCTAGTTGCCGTTAACCCAGGATCGTACACCCCGGATTTGGCCATGTCACTCAACAATCTATGTAGTGCTCTTTTGCTTCTCAGACGGCACTCAGAGGCACTCCCATTCATTGAAGAAAGCGTCAAACTCTACCACCAGCTAGTTGCCGTTAACCCAGGATCATACACCCCAGATTTGGCCATGTCACTCAACAATCTATATAATGCTCTTTCCAATCTCGGACGGCACTCGGAGGCACTCCCATTCATCGAAGAAAGCGTCAAACTCCGGCGCCAGCTAGTTGCCGTTAACCCAGGATCATACACCCCAGATTTGGCAATGTCACTCAACAATCTATATACTGCTCTTTCGGATCTCGGATGGCACTCGGAGGCACTCCCATTTATCGAAGAATGTGTCAAAATCCGGCGCCAGCTAGTTGCTGTTAACCCAGGAGCATATGCCCCAAAATTGGCCATGTCACTTAACAATCTATATAATGCTCTTTCCAAACTCGGACAGCACTCGGAGGCACTCCCATTCATCGAAGAAAGCGTCAAACTTTACCACCACTTAGTTGCTGTTAACCCAGGAGCATATGCCCCAAAATTGGCCAACTCGCTCAAGGATCTACATAATGCTCTTACCAATCTCGGACGTCATTCTGAGGCACAAATGGTCCAGATTTGAGCATGTTCTCCTCGTCATTGCATCGGCCACTTTACTGCCTGCACATGGCAGGCAAGCTTGAATTGGTATATTCGGCTCGAGAACACCAACAAATCCAACCTCAGTTTTTTGATTGCAAACCATTGATAAAATATTTACAGAGTTCACTAGCCACGCTACACCCATAACAAATCACAGTTGCATCTTTCAATTCTAATATTTCTTTCTCTAACACATTTTTCCTCGCATCGCTCATCGCTGATGTACTGGTCTATGTTTCTGCATAACCGATGACGTCGAGGTTTGGATCGATCGATGATGCAAATTGGTTGAGACGAAGCACAAGTTGATTGGCAGTCGAACGCGACCACTTGGTCCACAGATTCTAGCTTACCGTGCGCTGTTAATTCCAAACACTTTATGGCCCAACCGAATTTCGCTCACTCGAATCCTATGATGACTGCCCATTGGTGTTACACCATGCCTTCCCAGTTTAGTTTTGATCTGCACTGTATTACCACATCTCGTCGCTACCAAATGCAGGTGGCGTGCACATGGTCTTGGTAACTACTTGTGCAACTACATGACTAGTGCTACTACTGGATGTCGATCATCAAACGACGAAATCCAGACATGATGTGCACTTCCAGGTGATTCCCTACCTCGAAGACCCTTCCCGCTGACTATCTTCTCCTGCCGACAATGTTTGTTCAGTAAGCGGGACAGTGAATAAGGCTGTTGGTCCTAACCGTGACCGTGCGCCACCCGGATCATAATTACGAAGTTAATATGTCGATCTTCGTGAATAAGTCGACATGAATTAATACTCTAGATTGAATGAAGCGCGCTGATGCAGCACGTATGTCAGCAGAGATGGAATGCGATAAATTAACGCCGCTTGCGCCCCGTTAATATTGCTCGGCACGAAACCGCTATGATTATTGCTACGCGATGGACCCGGATTACCTCTTCGTATACACGGACGGCTCCTTACACCTAAGAGAGAGGCAAACGGAGGATCGGATATGGCTTGGTTGGTTACGTGGCCGGCAGACCTGTATTCGAAGGAAAAGGAGCCCTAGGGGAACATCGGCCAGAAGCCTTCGATGCGGAAATGATGGAGCTCAGGGCAGTGAGCAAAGAGATTAGAAGGAGAACGGGGGACGAATCCATTACCCAAAAACCTCACCTGAACCGGCTAATAGATCTGCGCCCGCTATTACAACTATGTCATGACTATGAGAGAAAATGTGACGGAATTCGTCAATATCACTGGGTGGCATCAACTCTTAATTCGCGTGCGCAGGTAAACCGTTGAAGTGGCACTTACTGCTCTACACAGCCCTGCTCTTGGCAGCTGTCACAAGCAGTCTGGAGTTGCAGGTCAGACAAACAAACTGGCCTAACGTTCTGGCCTAGGGATATTTTCCATCTACCTTTGACACCAGATCTCCCCTAATGGCTGAGAACGCGGAAGTTGTTTCCATGCCGTGTGCCCTCGTGGTTTATGGGGATTCATGATGGATAGGGTTCTGTCAATTACTTTAGGCGACGGTATCTATTCATTATCCTTAACAGCATCGTGCTGGCTGTCTCAGCACCCTCGACATCGACACTGACCCCCCCCCCCCCCCCCAAAGAACACTGACAATTACACAGCCCCGTGTTCAGATAGCGATCTGTTGACTAACTTGAGTCTAGATGATGCCAAATCGAACGAGACACACGTCTCTTCCCAGACGAACTCCGCCCGGAATAGGTTTGTGAACAGATAAAATCTCGTGCTTGAGGGTCGTTTCTCCGGGGATAGAATTTTCGCATGAAGTTCCAAAGCAGGGCACGCTATAGAGTAGCAAGAATGAATACATGGCATTGGTTCCAGCGAGTTGTGACACGAACAGTACTCATTTCTATGCCAGAGATAGAACGTATGGTATCCGAAAGGTACTCGTCAAAGCGAGCCAAAGATGTCATCAATCTCGTCTTTTTCTCAGTTCCTTTTATTCTTCTTGGTTTCTAATTTCCTAGCCTTCTTCGATGCACTTTCCGCTTCCTCAGTAAAGACCACAGAGGGGCTGTCTGAGTAGATACCCCCACGGGGTGATAGAGTGGCCCCGATCGATGAGCGCCTAAGCCAGTCTTCGACGAGGGCAACATGGGGCGCAAGTGTTGTTTCATTGGTACTGTGCCCGGTGGGCACCCGTCTTTGCTGGGAACAGAGGTGGTAGCCTCAACCGTTGCGATTCCATTAAGATTGTCAACGTCCTTGGTCGACTTGGGAATCACTTTTCCCGCATCCTTCGCGTTCGCCCCGAGATAAGCATAATTAGACATAACAAGAGGCTTAAAAGGATTCGGGCGGTCAGGGGACTGATCTGATTGGGGAAGCTTCATGGGTCGCACTGAAAAACAAATCAGACATAGATGAGGGATGAGAGAGATCTCACCGACCCGAAGAACCCTAGAAAGTTGCATAAACTATTCCCATATTGCGTCAAAAGCGCTCCTAAGCTCTACGCATACCGTAGGTACTCGGCTAAAAATGGCCACCAGCATCGATGTTTGAGCGCGGAATGTTTTTGTCCCATGCTGTAGTTCAGAGAAGCTGGGGATATAGAGTCAGCTACAAAAACTGTTCATCTGGACAGGAAATGCGCACGTATAAGCACTTCGTAAAACTGTCATGGCCTGCATTGGCATTAGCATTAGAAACCAAGAAATAAACTGGACCGAGACGGTACCTTATTCAAGAGCAGGCATAATTCATGAATGGCGTGCAGAGAGGACGGAAGTAGGCGCTTGGGAGGGAGATGTGTCCAGGAAATGCTTTGTTTACTGGTCTATTTTAACGGGTGTGGCCACGATGGAGGTGAAGCAAATTGCAGGGCAACCTTTTAGAGTCCACGAAAAAAGATGCATACACACGATAGGTAGAGACAAGCCCACGAGAATCCTGCGTATCCTTTTGAGAATCCGACGTGCTTCGACGGCCCTGCGTAGGAAGACGGCCGAACGGTGCTGATTATTGAACTTGTAGCATAAACGATCCGAAACGGCCAATTCTGTTTGCATGAACGTGATTAGGGGGGGCTTTGTTGCTCGGACACCCGTTCTATGACCCCAAGACAAGAAGTAATGGATGCATGAAGCGAATAAGGAAGAGACGAGCGTGGTCGACTCATCGGGCGCTTGAAACTCCCAAATCAAGGAATCTATAAATAACTATCAACAACAAACCTGTCACTTGCCTGTCACTTCATTCTCTGGCGCCCACATGGGTAGCGATGCCAAATTCTTCGCCCGAGGAAAGATTCAGGAGTTCCGGAAGGTTTGATTGATTCTACATCGTCCCCGTACCAGAAACACATGTGAGAATTAGGAGCTCGAAGAGGCCGAGTCGACAAAGGACAAGAAATTCATCAAGCGAAAGACGGTACTCAAGAAGATAGTAGCCAATATCACTATGGGGAATGACAGTGAGCTGGACAGTTTGCTTGCGGCTTCTTCTCCTGCTTCTGCTGACGGTTTGTGAAGTGTCAGCACTCTTCCCCGACATCGTTCGATGCATGCCGATCCAGGTGCTGGAAATCAAGAAAGAGTACGAGGTTCATATAAACTTCACGTACTTCCTCCTATCATCATTGAATTGGACGCCAATGCTCATTCTAGTGGCTTATCTTTTCCTTGTGAGCTATGGGTCGCAGTAAACCTGATGGTATTTCAAACGCCATGCCATCCCTTCTCACCATAAGTTGGCACTTTTTTAGTATAAATACTGAGAGATGCTACATTTGGTGGCCACGGGACGTGGTAGTACAGCGCAGTCTATCAAACACGGGTCGCTCCTGAACGAGGGGAACACCAATGGACAGTCATCATAGGATTCGAGGCAACAAAACTCGGTTGGATCTGATCATAAAGTGTGGGGAACAGCGGTATACTATATAAGAATCTGACTCAAGTGGACCAAGTGACCACGGCGTTCGACCGCCAATTGACTTGGGCTTCGTCTCAACGAATTTTGTGCGTCCTGTAACGCCTAGGATGAATTATAATGTTCCTAATACATTGGTCGAGTTTCTAGCTGCGAGGGGAACTGGGGATGTATTACCAAAACACCAGGACAAGTTCCGCAGGCGACAGTGACTGCAAGTGCCAGGATGAGAGCGACCCTGCCTTGCTAGCGCTTTGTCCCATCGCTACACGTACAAATTCTTCGATCCCTGGGTTCGAGTCAAATCATGGGAGAAAGCCATTAGTCATGAATCTGCTTACGTCTCGTGGCCACCAAATGTAGGTGGTCATATATCCTGGTAACTACTTGTCCACTACGACATGACGTGCACTCCCCTGGCGATTGATTCCCTACCTTGAAGACCCTTCCCGCTACAGCTGACTGTCTTCTCCTGCCGAATATGTTCGTTTAGTAAGCGGGACAGTGAATGAGGTTGGTCCTGACCCGGGAATGGACCGGCTCCGCGACCGTGCGCCACCCGGATCATAATTAGGAAGTTAATGTCGATCTTCGTGAATCGATCAACATGAATTAACACTCTAAACTGAATGAAGAAGCGCGGTAATGTAGCGATAAATGAACGCCGCTTGCCCCGTCACTTACTTAATATTGCTCGGCATGAAACCGAACCGCCGTGATTATTGCTGGTCGGTGGTGTCTCTTGGCGTCTGAGCAAGGACAGCCCTGCTTGGCAGATATCCTTCCGTGCTCTTGTTCATGTTCAAAAGTGCAATCCTCAAAATCCCGCTTCTACAACGAGCTCAGACAATCCTTTTGCATACGCTTTCTCTTCGTTCTCCAACTTGCTCTGTTTCTGGAGGCTATAGTTTCGGATATGATTGCGCCAACATGCTTCCAGGCTCGCTACCTTGGCTGATGGTACTTGCACTCCCAGACTCTTTCGGCAACACGAATGACCATTGCAGAGGTGTCCCCTCTGTGCAACTGGACCATCAAATTTGTACGGTAAAACCATATTTCCACTCAACCTGGGGCCAAGGTTGGCCGGTGGTGTTAGGTGTTACTCACCGACGTACTCGCCATCACGGTAATTTGCTCTGTCATCATCCAGTCTTTCGGCTCTATCGGGATAAGTTTCCTCAATAGTTCCTCCCTTTCATCTATGAATTCCTCACGTCGCTCGCCCGGTTAGTGGATCGATCTGGCATTTGGCTACCACCGCTACCTGCACGCGATGTCCATGTGCATCTATCGATGTCTAGGATCCTTGCCGATAAGACTCCTTGGCTCTGGAGCAGGAAGCGAATGTGAATGGGGGTGTATTTGGGGAGCCTGACATGTTATCTTTAAGTTCTAGAGGCTGGGCTTGTTGAAAGGAGCGGAATCAATTCATTTCTGCGAATCTCCGTATCATTGTACTCGATACAGCGATCTGTCTGAAAGCGCAAGTGAATCGTCAAGAGAATCATGGACAGTAATGCGTGGCTTCGCCATCTCTTTACCCGAACTGCCTTGCAAAAACAAATGCAGCTGGAAGAAGGACGTAATGCCGGCTCCACCAGAAGTCTAAGTAGCATCATTGCTAGCTGTAATGCCACTGAGCGGGGGCACTTAACCGCCCACCAAAGACGATTTGATCCCGGTCATCCTCCATTTTCACGAAACTCAAAAAGTGGGGACCAAGGCCATGGATGTCGACAGTATCACCAACTCTCTCAGAGTGTAACCACCTTCTGCCGCTTAATCCGGAAAACCATTTTCCTATCCCAACAAAGGGCTACATGGACGTTCTATCCGAAAAGCGTCATCTCTGATGTAAATATTGGCTGATGGTCCGAGTGGACCTCAAGAATCGGAGCCGGAGGTATGGAGAGTAATCATAGATGCGGGAATAAAATGCTGGGATGAAAGTGGTCGGTCAGCAGAAATGATTGCACGATTCCAAGATCAAAAACAAGGGTCCCAGACGACACTCCTATATCATTCATTTCAAAGAGCGATGCGAAGCGGACAGAAATGGGCCTGTGAAGTTTGCAAGAGAGAGCCGGGGATTTGGCTGACATTGGGCGCCTACGGGTTTGCCGGAGAGGCATGAGAGGATCGGGTATGATAGGATGAACGGAGGTTGATTACGAGTAGGTGGCGGAAGGCAGAAGAGTCCGGAGATAGTTTGGCGCAGTGTAAAGATTGAGATGCAGGTACGCGAACATCCCGTTCCACCCAAACCATTTACAAAAGACGCTGCCCAGACACATGCGACCCGACGCACAGATGAATTCGAAACGGTTATCCTGAGAAATTAACGTTCAAGGACCCATTCCTAGATTTCGTGGAGAAAAAGGAGGCAGATACGAATAAGCCTATGTTTCCAACGCAAGCACCTCAAAGCAGAACGGTGATCTAAAAAAACTGGTCATACTCAGGGAAGACTAGTAATGATGACGATGAGACATCGGCGGAGTCCTTGTCACAGTAAAATGCCACAGCAAATCAGTCGCCGTCGCTTCTGCCTGCTTTCCCTTACAAGTGTCCAGAGGTAGGGCACATGACAAGATTGGGGAAGGGGTAAGGAAAAAATAGAACGAGACCGTTAAGGGAAACGGCATAGTGAGGTGCACTAGGATGACGGCGGGAAGTGGCGCGAGGGCAGAGGAAGAGACGGGGAAAAGGGATAGATCGCATTATCATTGGTTGAGCTCCTTGGACTGAAGTGAGTTTTGTGTGCACCTCAGTAAGAACCGGCGTCGCATTAACGAACCGCGGCTCAACCGCTGTGGGACCCTTCGACATTCAGAACACTGATAGAAGTGAAGGAGGTGTTCCTTCAACGCGCCCACTTGGTGTCGAGCGGTCCCGAGACACATTTCGGCAATGCTGAACTGTGTCCTGTGATCGTCGGTTGGATGTCAGGCTCGATTTCCGGGCGTTGTGAGTACAAAACCCATACCTGAGTAAGAGTGCCACATGGAGACCTGCATGGGTTGGACGTGTAAGGGGCAGGTTCTCCTGTGCGCACTCGCATTTGGTGAATCAACAGGGATATGGAATGGAGTGTCGCAACGAAATTGCGTTGGAGTATCTCAGCGAGAGTGGGACACAACCGTATGGTTGTGTGTCGGCTGGGGTCAAGCCCAGATGTTGGCGAGCACCGTAAAGATTGGACCTAGAAGATTGACATGGGGTGTGCTAAATAAGATAAATTTTGGGCTAGGTGATCGAATATAAAGGGCCAGTGCATACTTGGGAAACGAATGCTAATTGCTGCATTTTACATAAAGACGCCAGGATTTGGCGAAAGTGCTGTGTCGGAGTTAGCCGAACACATTAGGATGATGCCGACGGATCTCGGTTCATGATGTAACCGAAGACCAAACGTTCCCTTCCGTTGTGAAAGCATTGCTTGTTTCACGAAAACTGGGCTGCTGAGTATCCGAAACTGGTGCCACCGATGTGTCGGCGCATCAACAAGGCCTATCAACCAAATTGAAGCCCATCGCCAACTGTACACTCTTTATCGATCTCGACATTATTTCACACTGTCCTATACTTGGATGCTTTCAACTATTTCATCATCCTGATATTTTTCTATTGCACCAATTGTCGGCTTGCAGGTTTGTTTTCAGCACCCTGGTTGATAATAGGATCAGAGCGGTAAGTATCACTTGTCCGAGGCCCCATTTTTTTAGGCATTCACGAGGGTACCCGGCCACTTAGGGGCATCCTACTAGTAAAGCTCATGTGAAAGCTGATTGCACTCCAAGACCCTGATGAAAGGCTAGACTGGATCCCAGCCTGCACTGACGTACGACGTACGTCGCGTACGCGTGCCCCACCGGCGCTTACCGCCCACTCTCTGTACGAAGCGAACGCCGTGACCAGTGCCTCGATATGACGTCCCATAGTCTTTGCTCGTTCATATCTAGTTCTTATTCCTAATAACATTTATCCTGCTTCCAGTTCTAGGCGGCATGATACTGGGCCGCTAGAATTCGCCGCTGATACTGGATCAGAGGTCTGTATGGCGTCGACCAAATAGTCAATGCATATATCATATCCTTCCTTCCATAATAAGACAGCCCTCGTGGCTCTAGCTTCTGAGCGATTAGGGGCTCACACGTGCGTTGCGCGCCCAAAGCTCTCTCCTCCATCCACTTGTCTGTTATCGACCATGTCGCAGCAGCAAGAGGTTGAAACTCCGAGGCAAAAGACCAATGATCTCCTTGCAGCGGGGGGTAACCTGGCGGTGTTAACTCTTAGAGGTGTCAATGCTACCGCAGGTTGGTGTCCACCCTTAAAGGATGCGACTAGTGCTGCGCTCTTCATCTACGACGAGGTTAAAGTTGGTAATGATTTATGTCCACGAATGAAAGCTCACGCTGGTTTGCGCCATGTAGAAGCTCAAGGAGAACGCAAAGGAATGGACTGATTTCGGTGAATACGTAGCGAGCACCATGGCCAACGTATCTTCAGCCATAAAGTCTGATGATGTATCAGCGGAAGAGGCAAAGCCATGGGTGGAAAGTGCCACAGAGCTTGATGGGTGAGTCTATCCATTTTGGCAGTCTTCGATATCGTAGTTACATCAAGTCCCAGCGCGTTACAGAAGATTAAGTCCGAAATTGAAAGACGGGAAAAAGTAGAGAAACGATCGACTCTCAGAAAAACATTCTCCTACTTGAAAGACCCGGGAAGAATTAACGACCTAAAGAAAGATTTTGACAAAGCATTGGCATCGTTTCAGGTAGCTTTCCTTACAGTATCCTTCCATAACCGTTCTGATTTCCGGCCGATGCAGGTTAGGACGAACTTGATAACTGGCGCCAAGTTAGCGGCCATAGAACGTCGTCTACACGAAGACAAAATTCTCGATAGTCTCCGATACCCTCATCTTGTTCATGATGATTCCACTCAGGCCTGCCTGGAAGACACTAGAGTTGATCTCATTGAGCGTATTATGGCATGGTGCCGCAACACTGGGGATAGCGAGAACCGGCTAATGCTGTTGACTGCTGTGGCCGGTGCTGGCAAGACTTCGATTGCACTCGCGATAGCAGAACGATGTGCCAGCGAAGGAGATGTTACCCTGTTACTGCGCTTCTTCTTTAAAGCGGGCGAACGGTCGCGGCCTGATTTTCTATTCAGCAGCATAGCTCGAGCTTTAGCAGACCATGATCCCGTTCACCGCACTTTCATTACCTCTGCTCTTCGAAACGACCCTAGTCTCTCAACAGCTTCATTTGCGATGCAGTTCAAGAAATTGGTGGCTCCATCTCTACTCCATAAACCTCCGCCTTCTGACCACCCTATGGTGATCATCATCGATGCTTTAGATGAATGTGACAAAGAAGCGTTCGAATCCCTTGCCGAAATTCTTGGGGAGGAAGTGCCCAGGCTACCATCTTCCATAAAATTCTTCATCACATCGAGACAATTTGATCTCGTGAATCGCTACCTCTCCCCCAATTACCCTATTGATCGTGTCACTATTGATCTCTTGGATGAGGCAAATGTGCAGGACTGTGCTAAGTTCATACGCTTCCAGCTGCAAAAGCTAAAGAAGTTACATCGGGACTTGCAGCGTAATCTTCAGGACGAGGATAACATGATACAGGAGATCTCGGAACGAGCAAATGGGTTGTTTATCTGGATCAGCACCATCTTTCGCTATATGAAGATGACGAACCAGAATCCTATGAGGACACTAAAAAGTCTGCTCGACACTGGTGCGAAACGGCCAGAGGTCCCTGCTGAGAAGATGATGGGAGACTTGTATACAAGCATTTTGAAGAAGTGTGCCTGGGAGGATGAAGATTTTGCACACGATTACCCAATCGTGATGGGAGCAATCTTCGTTGCTCAGGAGCCTCTGTCGATTACAGCCTGGGACTCAATTTTGTTGCCTTTCCTCAAGTCTTCTGTTCAATATGCATTGGCTGAACTCACTCCTCTGCTCTCAGGAGTTGAGAACTCCCACATTCCGGTTCGCATCTTACACCAATCTTTCCGCGATTTTATCGTCGATCGGATCGACCCCCAAACAATCAGCTCTGGTTGCACTCCCATAGCTGTGGGGGTGGAGAATGCCAGGGTTGCCCTGCGATGTACCGAGATTTTGAACAAGGATCTCTGCTCTGTAAAGGGCTTAGGACTGATTGAAAACTTGTCCGAAAAAGATGACATGCCACCCATTCCTCCATCGGAGTTATCTGAGCACTTTCGTTACGCATGTCACCACATCGTTCACCACCTAAATAGAATCAAGGAACCATCAGAGGAGCTTGCTGGGTCAGTTGGTTTGTTTCTGAGTCAGGAAGCAACTCGGTGGGTGGAAGTCTGTGTGCGGATGGAACGCTATGTCAGTATCTCATTACTCCCTGAGTGGACTAAGGTACGGGTTATGAATTGTGTTAAAGAAACTACCTCATGGTCTTCCAGTTGGTTGTTGACCACAGGGCTCTTAGTGCACTGGCTAATGTGCTTACCCAGCTTCCGCCGAATTTCGCATTTTTTTCAAGATCCCAGGAGGCCTATGAGACAGCAAACGATTCTGCTGTACTCTGCCGTTTTCTTTTTTCTGTGGACTCAAGTTCCTACACCCCGGATTTGGCCATGTCACTCAACAATCTACGTAATGCTCTTTCCAATCTCAGACGGCACTCGGAGGCACTCCCATTCATCGAAGAGAGTGTCAAACTCTACCGCCAGTTAGTTGCCGTTAACCCAGGATCATACACCCCGGATTTGGCCATATCACTCAACAATCTATATGATGCTCTTTCCAAACTCGGACGGCACTCGGAGGCACTCCCATTCATCAAAGAAAGTGTCAAACTCTACCGCCAGCTAGTTGCCGTTAACCCAGGATCATACACCCCAGATTTGGCCATGTCACTCAACAATCTATGTAATGCTCTCTCCGATCTCGGACGGCACTCGGAGGCACTCCCATTCATTGAAGAAAGTGTCAAACTCTACCGCCAGTTAGTTGCCGTTAACCCAGGATCATACACCCCGGATTTGGCCATGTCACTCAACAATCTATATGATGCTCTTTCCAATCTCGGACGGCACTCGGAGGCACTCCCATTCATCGAAGAAAGTGTCAAACTCCGACGCCAGTTAGTTGCCGTTAACCCAGGATCATACACCCCAGATTTGGCCATGTCACTCAACAATCTACATAATGCTCTTTCCAAACTCGGACGGCACTCGGAGGCACTCCCATTCATTGAAGAAAGTGTCAAACTCTACCGCCAGTTAGTTGCCGTTAACCCAGGATCATACACCCCGGATTTGGCCATGTCACTCAACAATCTGCGTAGTGCTCTGTCCAATCTCGGACGACACTCGGAGGCACTCCCATTCATCGAAGAAAGTGTCAAACTCTACCGCCAGCTAGTTGCCGTTAACCCAGGATCATACACCCCGGATTTGGCCATGTCACTCAACAATCAATATTTGGCTCTTTCCAATCTCGGACGGCACTCGGAGGCACTCCCATTCATCGAAGAAAGTGTCAAACTCTACCGCCAGTTAGTTGCCGTTAACCCAGGATCATACACCCCGGATTTGGCCATGTCACTCAACAATCTATATTATGCTCTTTCCAAACTCGGACGGCACTCGGAGGCACTCCCATTCATCGAAGAAAGTGTCAAACTCCAACGCCAGTTAGTTGTCGTTAACCCAGGATCATACACCCCAGATTTGGCCTTGTCACTCAACAATCTATATTATGCTCTTTCCAAACTCGGACGGCACTCGGAGGCACTCCCATTCATCGAAGAAAGTGTCAAACTCTACCGCCAGCTAGTTGCCGTTAACCCAGGATCATACACCCCGGATTTGGCCATGTCACTCAACAATCAATATTTGGCTCTTTCCAATCTCGGACGGCACTCGGAGGCACTCCCATTCATCGAAGAAAGTGTCAAACTCCGACGCCAGCTAGTTGCCATTAACCCAGGATCATACACCCCAGATTTGGCCTTGTCACTCAACAATCTATATTATGCTCTTTCCAAACTCGGACGGCACTCGGAGGCACTCCCATTCATCGAAGAAAGTGTCAAACTCTACCGCCAGCTAGTTGCCGTTAACCCAGGATCATACACCCCGGATTTGGCCATGTCACTCAACAATCAATATTTGGCTCTTTCCAATCTCGGACGGCACTCGGAGGCACTCCCATTCATCGAAGAAAGTGTCAAACTCCGACGCCAGCTAGTTGCCATTAACCCAGGATCATACACCCCAGATTTGGCCTTGTCACTCAACAATCTATATTATGCTCTTTCCAAACTCGGACGGCACTCGGAGGCACTCCCATTCATCGAAGAAAGTGTCAAACTCTACCGCCAGCTAGTTGCCGTTAACCCAGGATCATACACCCCGGATTTGGCCATGTCACTCAACAATCAATATTTGGCTCTTTCCAATCTCGGACGGCACTCGGAGGCACTCCCATTCATCGAAGAAAGTGTCAAACTCTACCGCCAGTCAGTTGCCGTTAACCCAGGATCATACACCCCATATTTAGCCGTGTCACTCAACAATCTACATAATGCTCTTTCGAACCTCGGACGTCATTCTGACACACAAATGGTCCACATTTGAGCACGCCCTCCTCGTCATTGCATTGCCCACTTTACTACCTGCATATGGCACGCAAACTTGAATTGGATATTCGGCTCGACATCAACCTCAATTTTTTGCAAACCATCGAAAAAATATTTACAGGGTTGGCCACGCTACACCCATAACAAATCACAGTCGCAGCTTTCAATCCTAATATCGTATCCATTTCCTTTAACAAATTTTTTCTCATTGGTGTTGTACTGATCTATGTTTCTGTATCACGGATGATGTCAAGGTTAGGATCGATCGATGATGCAAATTGGTTGAGACGAAGCCCAAGTTGATTGGCGGTCGAACGCCGCGGCCACCTGGTCCACCTAGCCAGATTCTAGCTTACCGCGTGCCGCTCCCAACACTTTATGACCCAACCAAATTTCGCTGTCTCGAATCCTATGATGACTGCCCATTCCTAGTTCAGGTACGACCCGTGTTTGACCAGCGCTATATTACCACGTCTCGTGGCTAGATAGATATGCATCGTCATGTCTCCTGGTAACCACTTGTGCACTACATGACCAGTGCTACTACTGGATGTCGTTCATCAAATGACGAAATCCAGACATGATGTGCACTTCCAGTGATTCCCTGCCTTGAAGACCTGACTGTCCTCTCCTGCCGAAAACGTTTGTTCGGTAAGCGGGATAGTGAATTAATAAGGTTGGTCCAAACCCTGGAATGGACCGGCTCCACAACCGTGCGCCACCCGGATCATAATTAGGAAGTTAATGTCGATCTTCGTGAATCATGAATTAACACTCTAAACTGAATGAAGAAGCGCGGTACTGTAGCGATAAATGAATGCCGCTTGCCCCATCACTTACTTAATATTGCTTGGCATGAAACCGAACCGCCGTGATTATTGCTAGTCGGTGGTGTCTTGTGGCATCTGAGCAAGGACAACCCTGGCAGATAAGTATCCTTGTTCATGTTCAAAAGTGCAATCCTCAAAACCCCACTTCTACAACGAGCTCAGTGGCAGACAATCCTTTGCATATGCTCTCTCTTCGCCCTCCAACTTGCTCTAGAGGCTATAGTTTTGGATATGATTGTGCTAACGTACATGCTTCCAGGCTCGCCACATTGGCTGACGGCGCTTGCACTCCTGAACTCGTACGGCAACACGAATGACCTAACAACACCTACGGATGCGCCAGCTGTCCCAGCTATTCGATGACCTGGATTATTCTGAAAGCCTCCAGTCTACCTTCTGTGCGCATGATACTCGTGGAGGCCCGATGGAACGCCAGTGAAGTATTCGAGTATTCGACAGCATCATTACTAAATCCAAAGGGCCACCTAGCCTGCTATTCCTATCCCAGCCTGTGCATCAAATTGGATACAGTATTACCACACGTTGCAAAGCAGACGCCGTTCCTCACTAGTGACATCATAATCCCCTTCCACAACACCACTATTCCCAAGTACTCTAGGTTTGACTGTGAACTCTCCTGCGATTGACGCTACAAACCCTCAAAGTCAATCTGTGTGGTCAGTAGCTTTGGTTCCTGAAATAGTATGGCGACTGAACACTGGAAGTGCATGCGTGTACTGAGCAAAATTAAGACGCCAACAGATCCACCACAATCTCTATACCCAATCTTCTCCTGCTATCGCTCCGGTCGTCATTCCGGAAAGTGGGGCTATAGAATTGCTCTTATAGCTCGATGTGTACAACCCCTACAAGCAGCCGCGGATGAGATTAATGGTTACGAAAGCGGTGAAGCGGTTGCATTCGCCGTTAAACAGTATAACAAAGCAGAAGTTTCCCGCGTTTTCGAGGAGATCAAGGCAAAGTGGCCAGGAGCTGTGATCCGCGATGCTATCCACAATATCGCACATAGAATCTCGAGACCATTCCTGCAACTGACCCAGCAGATTACAGGCAAGCGTTCCACCGCTCCTGGTGCCGTTGCTTCGTTGTTAAGTGGCCTGCCCTTCGCGTTGGGCTAATAATGTTTTTGGCCGATTGAGCATATGAAAACCAACAGACGAATCGGCTCAGATAAATATTCTGGGTGGCTTTGTGTTTAATTCTATCGTTCCGCGAGTACTTACGCCATTAACGAGCTAGGATACCCCAAGGCGTATTGATATTTGCGTGAGCGCTTGAACATTTTCTGCTCTCCGACATTCCCCCAGACTCAATGGTTAAATTCATAGTTCTGCTTCAGCCGCATGGAGAGCCCTTCCGGCGTTTGCTGCACTTTCTGCAGAAAAACATTGTGTTCGATCGCCGTCACAGCGCCTGAATAAAAACAAAATTTGAAGGAGAACATTCATGTAGTTAATCGCGAGTCTAGATTTGACAGTTCAAGACAAAACGTACTCAGTAGTGGAAGATGCAGAAAGCGTTTGGTACTCCGGAGTGGGACACGAATCCAGATATCGTTTTGAACCCAGCAGATGTCGCCGCTGTGTGTTGACCTCTGGACACAGCTCGCGGTCTCGATATCTTGCCCATCAACCTCGCTCGGCATAAACATGGGAGATCGGTACGTCATATCGCACAGACCCGGAAAGAAAATCGTCGTCTCTGGGCTTTCTAAGTATATTGGAGGCGGTGACGATTTCACCACGCTCCGCAAACGTCATAAGTAAATCTCGTAGCGGGATTGACTTATAGAGGCGATAGATTTTGAGCGGACATTCCACGGGATGGTTGGGACGACACTGTACACACCGTCAAGGACGTTCCAACCACGTCAGCGTTCTCTGCGACCTGATTAATTTCTCGCAGGTGGTGCAGGATCTCCTCGAACCAAACAACGCCTGGACATCAAAGACCACCGCAGAGATTACAGTGGGGCGGGTCCTCTAACGATACCCCTTTCACCAAGCTTGATGCATGGCCAAGTGTGGGACAGAGAAGATCAGCGTCGTTATGTTCGCGATGACCACATGAGGTGCAGAGTGTGTCTATCACAAAGAGTTTGGTGGATGGTGTAACATAACCATAACTTTTCTGTACGCGAGACCATGGACGTTCTGGGTGATGATAGTATATCGCATACGATTCGCACAAAAATAACGGAATCGAGGTACGGAATCGAATCTGAATAAGGAAAGGACATCAGGACCAACGACGAATGTTACTCTGCACACAGAGTCACTAACCACTCCCGATATTACGCAATTGGCGCTCCCCATTTGTCCTCCTGTTCCAGAACTTCACTTCGACTTTAAACCCAACTATGCGAAATACACAGTCCGACGGAAACAGTCTCCACTGAAATTGGCTTACTCCGTGATGTTCAATAATTGCCAAGGACTCACTCTTGATCGAGTACTGTTTGATTGTAGAGAGGATGTCTTTGCGCATGGGCAGCTGTACACTGTGCTAAGCTGTGTGCGACATAGGTCTCATGCGATGCTGTTCTTGCCCGAGTCAAAGCTGGATGTTGCGAATGTAGAATACAGAAGACTTTTGGGTTAATGTTAACCTGGCTTGCTACGTTACTTAAATGAATGGACGGCAATTGTTGTATTTAATGTACAGGTTAGTCCAAGACAAATGTAGTGGGGCTTTGCTGCCAGTCATTGGCAGCAGTCCTCTCATGCCGAGAGGTTTCTGATGGTCTATCTGACCATCTATCTATAATTTATTGGCTCCTTAGCCCAAGGAGCCGCTGCTGTTTCTGGAAGCACCCTGCGCTTCCTTCCTTTTCTGGGTTTTCCCTATGGAAAGCCAATCTGCTTTCCTCTCAGTCTGCGAGGCTGGAGATGGTCTAGGTGACCATCTCTCCACTGGTTTTGCACCAGTATTATAACTTTTGAGCTCAGGAAGCGCCCTGCGCTTCGTCGCATCCAGGGTTGTTTCAGATTTCAAGCCCTCACTCTTTTTTCCACTCATTCCGAGAGGTTTCAGATGGTCTATGTGACCATCTCTCCACTGGTTTTACGCCGGTATTAAGCTCAGCTGAGAGCTGAGTTCTGGATGCGCCTGCGCTTCACCAGATCCTGGGTACATCGAGGGTATGGCCCTTACTTCTTTCCCTTTCATTCCAGAAGGCTAGACACGGTCCCAGTGACCATATTCCTACCCATTTTCACTGGTGTTCTTAGCTTATGCTGAGAGCTGACTCTCAGAAGCGCTCTGCGCTTCCTCCTGTTTATAGGCCTCTTGGCTCTGAGGCTCAACCGGTTCCTCTTATTCTGCGAGGTTGTAGGTGGTCTATGTGGCTGCATCTTTACCAAGTTGAATATGGCTCAGCTTTCCATGGTATCGTTTCAGTTTGATCAGTACCATCGTATCTGAAGGCTGCCATGTATGGCCTTCACTCGCTGCCGTGGCATCCGTTTCTTTTTAGATTTTCTTGAATGTCTTTCCCTGTATCGTGTTGTTGCGAGAAAGATGATTGAATTTCATTGATGGTTGAAATATAACAACACAGTTATTTGATGAGAATGGAATAAGTGGGCAGTGCAGAGTTCTGTGAAGCGCGAAGTGCAAGTGCTTCAGTATAGGAAGCTCATAGGAAGGTGAGACACCTATCATGGTGTAGTGGCTCGAGGGAGCGGTGATGAGAAGCGGTATATTATTAAGTATGGAGGGCTGTAAAATAGATGAAATAATTTGGTTCATGGTGTATTAAACGAAGGGATCGAGTAAAGTGTGAAAAGTTCACATGCGAGGGGGTCATGGTCCGGTCATGACAGAAGGTGTGTATGGAGTTGTCGGCCCATGTCCTGAATGTATGGGTGGTCACACTGCCACGACACATCGAGGCCGCGAGACAATAAATCTGAATCACCACCACCACTGACACAGAAGCTGTATTGCGAGGATGCCACCAGAGAAACACGGATGGTTTCTCACTCCGGGAACTGGCCCATTTCATCTCTCTTTCGATCTGCCAAAGGACTTCATTGCATCGGAGGACTGGAGGCTATCCATTCCCAGATATCATGAGGCTCTCTGCCTTCTGCATGCCCTCCATGTGAGACACGGGGTTGTGGGCCATGCCGTGGTTGCCTTGCACCATAAGACTGTCAACGGCAAAGATCGTGTGGTGAAGACCTTAGCCTGGCTAGACAGATTTCATGCAGAGCGCTACAGAGAGGTTTTGGAGTTCATTGAGTACAAAGGGGTTGACAATCTACTGAAGGCATTGCACAAAAAGTACTTCGTTGTGGGAGACGATGAGCTCTCTGTGCACGGATTACTCCACCGACCTTTACAATCTGAGACCGATATCATGACACTCAGGAATATGAAGCATCACTCCCTTGCTGACCGTGTCTTATCTTGCATGCCAGTTACCAATAGAGTTGGGGTTTCTATCTGGGAGGAAACATCACTTGTGCAGATTTTTGACGCATTGGTGGAAATCATCGAGCGTAAGTGACCCAGTGTCAGTGGTTACTTTTCAATGCCCAGTCCTCACCCAATTTCCCAGAAATTGAACACATGGAGGATATAGGCTTATACCACGGGGATGTCAGTGAAGGGAACATTTTTACTGGCACTCATGACGGAAAGAACAAGGCATGGTTGGGCGATTTTGAATTTGAGTGTGTTGACAGATCGGACGGAGATGATACTGGGAAAGCCAAGCTATCTGTATGTCATTCCAGACTTTTGGTCTTGTGCACTTTATAATCCTCATCCTCCTTCATGTCGGAAGCAGTACTTGTTGCAATTTATTCAGGGCAGACACACTCACAATCTAGCGTAGATGATTTAGAGTCTCTGATGTGGGTACTGCTCTGGTTCTTCTATCACACCTGTCCACATGAGAACGAATGGGGATGGACTCGCCTTCTGTACAACATGAATTTTGTCTCCCACACTTCTCCACCTCCTTCCATGGAGGCCGATGGAAAGTGCCTCAAGTTGAGACCAGGTTCCAGGTTATTGGTGCAGGGGCAAGATCCATAGTACTTCTTTCTCAGCAATGCTTATTCAGCAAGCCTTATGAAATCTTCAAACAAGCATGGGTACCACCTGCCAATGGGGGGGCTAAAATGGGCCCCGCACGCTCTTGTCACTCTATTCCAGGATATCTGGCATCTTGAGGGCTGGAAACTGTTGGAGGAACCGTGTGCTATGGGAGTTTTCATACAGCTACATTCCCACACCTGAGCAAGGAACTCACCTGGACAGCCACATTCCTGCAGTAGCGTGACTACTTGGTCACAACACCTTTTTCTTCTTACTTATTTTGGTCACTTCGGACTTATCTGCAAAGTCCACAAACTATATTCATTCATTTGGATTAGTTTCCTTTTTCCCTCAGTTCTCGCGCATTAGCTTGAGACTGAGGTTAGTTACAACATTCTTTTACTCTTATTCCTTATACATTGTAACTCATTGTATATTACCTTATAGCTTTAGCATTAGGTAATATTATAGTTCTCACGCATTAGCTTGAGACTGAGCTTTAGCATTAGAGCAAGTGGTTATTCCGTTAGAAACACCTTCGAATGTACTGGGAAGACCCTCCATCAAAGCATATGGACGATCAACAGAGGCTGGAAGAGTTCGGAGCACTTGCATCTGGTGTAAAAAAAAGACTGCATACTGCTAGTGCAGACACATCTCAGTTCTATCCAAGTAATAAGGTTCTTCCTGGGCAACAAAGCCCACGTAGTTGTCATCTGCCTTGTATCTAGTATTAATCATTCTAATGTCATGTTCCGAAACATCCTCCCATCCCCAGTGACATTCTTCCATATTTGTACCCCATTGTCATCATTTGGGGACATGTGTGCAACAACACAATTTGCTTTTGGACTGGGCTACTACTGTTATGATGGTTCCCCTCAAACTGAATGGCAGTGTCTTTGGCATTTCAGTGCAAGGACAATGAGATTAGTAGATGCAAGGAGTGCTGTCAGTATCTACACATATGATTGTTGTGGTTTCAAATAAGGTCTTTGGCTTGATCACTGTGCAAGCTCTCTGTTTTCTGAGGAACCACATCTCTCTGATTTCTGCCACCGGATTTTATGGTGAGCGTTGACTGATATGGAGTGACTTGCATGACAAGTGGCATAGGATTAAGTATCTTGTTTGAAGCGCTGTGCAATTGTGGGCAGTGGGAGTTCGGCAAGATTAGGTGAAGAATGAAGCAGAGTAATGCGTGGCTTCACCATCTCTTTACCTGCACCACCTTGCTGAAGCAAATGCAGCTGGAAGGACATGATGACATCGCTACCAAAAGTCTACTTAGGATGGAATTGTGTCAGGGACCAGTCCGGGGTCGAGAGCGTCCAGGTATATCGCCCAGCGCTGAGGGCCCGGTGGGGTATGAAGCGGGTGTGTACGGCAACAGGCCCAGTGCAGGCAGATGTCCCTGAAGTGGGAATGGTGAGAAGAAGACTGCTTCTCTGGTTCCCACCCCAGGTATGTTTATATACATGGTGCTCAGGTCACATGAGAGTTGCCACGTCGTCCCCATGCACAGCCCCAGCCACCCGGGTATCCCCATGGGGGATCCCGAAGGGATCCACTGCAGGCGCACATGCTGGGTGTACCTGGGGGTCATCTGGAGCATCCGGGGCTGGGTGTGTCATGCATGGGTCGTGGGTGGGTTAGTAGTACATCGATCAAGGGAAGTCATCTGTGTAAATAGAAATAGAAAGAATAGGGAGTGGGATGGGGGGGGATGGGGGGGGGGGGGGAAGTGGAGGGAGGAGGAGATAGGAAGGGGGAGAAGGGGGTAGCAGGTGGAGTGGAGCCGGGTGGAGCCAGGTGAGGCGGGTGTGCCCTGACAAATTGACATCATTGCCAGCTTTAGATATCAAACACCACTGAGCAGGGCACTTAACCATCCACCAAGACCACGGATATCGACAGTATCACCAACTCCTTTAGAGTGTAACTACCTTCGGCCACTTAATCTAGAAACCTGTTCTCCTATCCCAAACAGCAATGGGCTACATGGACGTTCTATCCGAAGAGTGTCGTCTGTCATATCCATACAATCCCGACCTCCACTCTGGGCTCCCAGAACTCCGAACTCCGACTTCTGGAGCCCTACTTCCCTTCCATCACCTTCTCCTTGCCGACTCCCAAGAGGTTATCCCACCTCCGGCTTGGACACCACCTTCGGTCCGACTCCGGAACATTCCGGGTCCAACCCCAACCTCGACACCTTCCAGATGAGTACACAAAACCTATGCTCCCGACTCCGGAATCCCGTTCACGTCTCTGTCTCCGGAACCTCCGGTCTTAGCTCCGACCTCGGACTTTGACCTCACCTCCGCTTATACCCATTGTATTGGTTAGCTCATTCCATTTAATTATGTTTGCCAATATTCCGGAGTTTAACTTCCGAGTTCGGACTTTCCGGACTTATGTCGGACCTTGCAACTATTGCATTGTCCTATTCAATTCTGCTATTCTCCCTCATTCCTATTTGGGCTGCTGCTTCCTTTCTATTCAGTCAGCTAGCCATTCCCCCACTCCCAACCTCCTTCCTTCCTCCTTGGGCCTTGGCCCTTCATTCCTCCTTTGAGAAACACCATTGAGTCAAACCCTTGACCCTCGGTGTTGTTCCTCTTTCCAGCTCCCTTTGTCTCCTTTCGGAGTACCCTCGCTCCTTTTGATTCCGGACCCCTCCTTATATACAATGTACATAGTAACTTGTAACCTCAGTCCGAAATCGACATGAATTCCCCCCAAGAGACTTTCCCTCTGCTAGATCCGAAATTAGGGACCCCTAGGACAACCAGCAATGGCACAGCGCTCTGCCTGAGTCGCTGAGGCCAAGGTCCTTCCATGCTAAGTCTCCGATTCCATTCCGGAGTCATCCGAATCTGCTAGTTCTAACATCATCTCTGATTGATGTAAATCGAAAATATTCCGAATGGACCTCAAGAATTGAAGGCTTCGGTATAAAGAGTAATCATAGATGTGGGAATAAGGTGTTGGGATGGAAGTGGTCAGTCAGCAGAAATAATTGCATGATTCCAAGATCAAAACAAGGGCCCCAGATGACTCCTATGTCATTCACTTTCAAGAGCGATGTGAAGCAGATGGCAATGGGTCTGTGAAGTTTCGAAAGGGAGTGTTGAGGATTTGGCTGACATTGGGCAACTCTTCTTGTGTGGATTTGCCGAAGAAGCATGAGAGCATCGGGTTTAATAGGGTGAAGGGAAGGAGGGTTGAAGCACAGAGGTTGGTTACGAGTGGATGGCAGAAGGCAAAAGAGTTGGGAGATAGTTTGGCACGCAGTGCCAAGACGATTGAGACACAGGTGCGAGAACATCCTGTCCCACCCCAACCATTTACAAAACACACTGCCCAGACACATGCGACCTGACGCACAGATGAATTTGAAATGGTTTTAATGTTTAAGGACCTGTTCCCAAGTTCTGTGGAGGAAAAGGGGGAAGATACGAATAACCCTATGTTTCCAATGCCAGCACCTCAAAGCAGAATGGTGATCTAAAAAAAGAAAGAAAAAATCAGTTATAGTTATACTCAGGGAAGACCAGTAATGATGGCGATGAGACAATCAGCGGAGTCCTTAAATGCTGTAGCAAATCAGTTGCCATCATTTCTGCCTGCTTTCCCTTACAAGTGTCCAGAGGTGGGGCACTTGATAAGAATTGTGAAAGGGTGAAGGGAGGATAAGAAAAAAGTAGAACGAGACCATTACGGAAAACGGCATAGTGAGGTGCACTAGTGTCAGGGCACACCCCACCTGACCCCGCACCGTGCCGCCCTACTCCGCTCCCCCGCTATCACTCCCTGTTTCTTCTTTCCCATTTCCTTCTTTCTTTCTATTTCCGTTCCATGGTCGACTTCCCCTTCTCTATGTATTACTACACACTTACCCCCGCTCCCCCAATCGCCGCGTGCATTCCCGCTCACAGAGCGGCACACCTCCGGGATCTCCCACGGAGATACCCAGGGGAGTGCGGCTGTGTGCGGGGATGACGTGGCTCCCCCCACGTGACCTCAGCTGCATGTATATAATAGCACCTGGGGTGGGAACAGAAGAAGCAGCCTTCTTCTCAACTTCCCACTTCAGCCTAAGTGGTCGGGGACGCTCACCCTGCGACGGGATCGCCGCTACGCACAGCCACTATCTGTCCCACCAAGTCCCGCACGCAGGGACCTCGCCGCTTTTGGAGCTGTCCCTGACAGCAGAAGAAGGCTTCAACCTCATCTCCCCCACCTCCCCCGCTATGGTGACCGAAGAGCAGTACAACTGCTGTCCCAATTCCACAAGCTCCAGGCCATCGTAGAGAGCCAAGCTCAGAACCAGCCCCCAGCCACGCCTGCACCGGCACCGGTCCCCGCACCAACACCTGCACCCGCCCCTAGACCCAAACCGCCTAAAGTCGCCCCCCCCACTGCCTTCTCTGGAGCAGCCGAAGACCTTGACCGCTTCAATGCTGAATGCGGCATATACTTCCATGTCCGAGCAGCGGAATTCCCCAACCCCCTCTCCCAGATCCTCTTTGTCCTGTCCTACATGAAGGGAGGGACTGCAGGGGTGTGGGCGACGCAGTGCACCATCGCGCTACTGACGACGGGCTCCCCCCGACTCACCATGGACGAGTTCAACACGGAACTCGACACCATGTTCCAAGACCTGAACCGTGAGGCCACAGCCAGACAGAAGCTGGCCACTCTGCAGCAGGGCAGCGACTCCGTGGATAAGATCATCCAGGAGTTTGAGATCCTCGGACCCGCCTCGCGGCTAGGGGACGTGGGGCTAGTGGATCGCTTCGAACAGGCGATCAACTCCCGGCTCCGTGAAAGCATTTACCGCCTCCGCCCCATGCCAACCACCTGGGCCGAGTGGAAACACAAGGCCAGCCTCCTTGACAACCAGTGGCGGCGTTTCCAGGCAACGCAACCCCGCTTAGCCCCCACCAGGCCCCCACTCTTGCCCCCGAGACCCCCACTCCCTGCCACTCTCC